TATGAAATTGAATACTCTTAAGTTTTTATAGTTATCTGAAAACTGTTATAATAGTTTGTTGTATACATTAATACTGTGTCTGAAATTTTTATAAACTTTAAACTGCCACAATTGCTTTAGAGCTAGAAATTGACAACATTAAGTTTGATAATGCAACTAAATTGTTGGCAAGTCATTCTCACTCTCTTATAAATGAGGAATTAGAAGATCTCTGCATAATTGACTCAGAAAGAATAGCCACAGTAATAAGAATAGCTTGATCTATGAAAATCCATGATGGGCTGGGAATAGAACTACTGTATTTTATCAAAAGCAGAATCAATACAGTACTCAGCTTTATTACTAGATTATGAAGGAAAGAAAGGTAAACAGTCCTTTTTTATTACTTAAAATAAATCTGGAAATGCATGAAAATCTGAACTACTTAAAACAAATATTAGGATGTTTTATCTGATCTTTAGAAACTTATGTTTACACTGTTAAGCTAAACAAAATAAAACTTAACAGATTTTTTTTGTTAATTAAAGGATATTTTACCTTGATCCAAAGATTAAATATAGCATTCTAGATTAACATAGTCTAAATCTTTCTAGATATCATTGCTTATACTATTAGACCTGCTGAAAATTTTTCTCAGCTATGTAGGTGTTTGAATCATTCTACATTTGGATATTGAACTTTCCATTTCCACTGTTGAACTCTTCATCTACATTGAGCAAGGACATTAATTCCTATTTATTTCATGTTTGTTCAGCTACATTAATTTAAACAATTTATCATCATCTAGCTGTCATGAAATTTGTTGCAATCACTGATTAATTACTGATTGACTTTTTGCCTGTTTTGTTTGTTCCTAGAAGGATATAGTTTTAATAATTTAGTATGACTCTGGCAGTATGATCCTAAGAATATATCTAAAAACTGAAAATGTACCACGCTTGGAAAAAAACGTTTTTTTGATAAATGAATTGACTCCTTGAATTAAGCATTTTTGGATATATTCTTACAATTAAATTTATTGCATATAAACACATACTGTATATACAGTACAATGCAAAAATAGTCAATTACAACTATTTTATTAATAAAGTATTTAGTAAAAGTTTTTATCAGTACTTGAACCTGAAAAGCCTGTTATTAAAGAATTTATTTTTTGGACTTTACAATAGTCTGGTTAATACTATTTTGATATTAGTTGTTTAATTCATTAAGTATGTGAGATTTTTGATAAAATCATATTTGAACTTTTAAATATTTATCAGAACACAAAAAGAAACAATAGTAAACATTTGGCAAATCTGTTCATTATTAATTCTACCATTTTATTATTAATGTTATCATGTTATTAGAAAATAAGTAATGCATCTAATGTTTNCAAGCATAAATCAATTTACAATAAAAGCTTACGGGTATACACCACATTTTCAATTCGTAGGGCGTTTACATATTGTCAAATGACCGATATCGATGGTGTAGGTTTATTATTTCTGACACCAAATTATAGTTCTTATCCCGTCTTCAATGTAAGACTTTAGATCCTAGCTCCAACCAATGACAGAGTGGATAACACCACTAAACATTGAAGTCGCGGGATCGCGGTTAGTCACGAGAAGTTTTCCGGATTTTCCTCGTTTGTTTATCACCTAAATGGAGCCAGATTTCCACAGAAAGTCTTTCGCCCTCGCTCATATGTTGCTTTGCTTTATCTTATCAATTTAAGCTAAAATTGGCATGCAAAATAGGTTTATTACACGAATTTTATTAAATATAGAGCATTAATCGTTGTGTGATTAACATATAAACTTCCTATGGCAATATATTTTTGTTGCAGGAGATCTGTAATTCTTCACCCCTTTCATATCACATAAAATTTTCTGTTCAATCTCGCAATCGATCAATCTGGATATCTGGAGTTCCTGTATGGAATCATTGATTCTACCCCCACTTGATTACTAATACTAATAACGTTTCTCCTGCAGTTTACTGGGTTGCTCAGTCTTCATTTGAAATAAATGAAACACTACTCAAGTATCAAAAGATATAATAATAATCAGAAAAACTATGGGTTAAGGTTCACATTCTTTCAAAGGATTAATGGATCATAAATCCTACCAAAGCACCATCTACTAGGTCACAAAGTGACCCTCATCATTAAAATTCAATTCTTTTGTGCATTCTTTCTAACTAAAATGTAGTATAGATGATAAAAAGTTTTGAGAACTACAAGATAACTTTTACTATAGATATTTTTCATCCTTTCTTTAAATAATTTTAAAAAACTAAATCACAGGTAAATATAGTATCAAAAATTTAATGTAAATTATAAATTTTTAATATATTTTATATATAAAGAAATAATACACAAATAGTCAACAAATATACAAAATATTAAATTAATTTTGAATTTTTTTAGTGAAATAAGCATGCAAAATAAAGAAGGAAGTTCATTAAATCTATCTAATTGAAAGTTATTTGCCGATTATCAGAGGCAGAAAAGATAATTGTCTTACAATGAATTAGAACTATGAGCTTTTGAGAAGCAAATCCAAAACTCTGTCAGCTCAGCTAATTCGCTTTAAGCTGATGATTGATTCTGATGAATTTTTATGATGGTTAGAAAAATAAATTATTTAGAAGAGAGTGGTTAAAAAATTTATTTATTTTCTCTAATTATTTTTAAAATTAATTTTTGTGTTAAATGTGTTATAAGAAAATTTTATTTAATTTTGATATAAATTATTTATATAGAAGTTAATAAATTTATAATGAACTCTAAAAATTAAATAGAATTTAAATTCAGCATTAAAATAATTTAAAATACAATCGAGAAATAAAAATAAATATAGAATGTTTTAATCACTTAATGTTTCGTAATTGTGTCTTTATTTATAGTTGTAATTACGAAGTAAAATATGATTGTTTTTTTAAAAATAATTCACAAAATTTTATAAAAACAGCAATAAAAGTTTCTCATTTTAAAATAAGTCTTTAATTCATTTTTGAAACTTGTTTTACAAGTTCAATAATTTAATTGTTTTGAATTAAGTATTATAGTANTATATATGTGTGTGTATGCATGTTTATAATTTTTCTTATAAACAAGAAATAATATGCAAAACAAAAGTAAATGTTCTGTACACATTATATATACTATATCACAATTTATTCAATTTAATCAAATGAAAGTTCAATAAACTAAAATTATAAAATTACAGTAAAAATTATATATTAAGTAAAATTTATGTATAATGTTTTTAATGTTGTACATAAAATTTTCTTAATTCACCTTTCAATTAAAGCTTCTTGTCTCAAAATGTATTCATATTGCGATTCCTCATGAAACACTTAATTTGTGCATATGTATAATAGGTAACAGTATGCCAGATTTGTATAGTAATAGATCTACTGCAATTGTAAGAAATATTTTATTGTAGTGGTTAAATTTATGAATTTTTTAGCTTATTAAATTTTAATTAAATGCTTATATCTATTTTAGTTACCATTATATTCATGTATGACTGAAGAGGGTCTTCATGACTGAAATGCATACCAGTAATAAAAGTTACTTATCAAACATCAAAATGTCATTGTGATGTTCCTAATAACAGTGTGATAAATTTCCACATATATCTCCACAAATTAAATGTTTGAGGAATCCTAATATGAATTAATTAACCTTATTATCTACGGTAAATTTTTAATATTAACAATTAATTAATTATATTACAATTATGATGTTTCTTTTTTTTTATTTAATTTTGCTAATACTAAACAAAATGTACTGTACAACTATAAGATTACATCTTTATTATAATTTCAAAATTTTGTTAACAAGTGATGTGCCATTTTAATTAAAAATNTATATATGTGTGTGTATGCATGTTTATAATTTTTCTTATAAACAAGAAATAATATGCAAAACAAAAGTAAATGTTCTGTACACATTATATATACTATATCACAATTTATTCAATTTAATCAAATGAAAGTTCAATAAACTAAAATTATAAAATTACAGTAAAAATTATATATTAAGTAAAATTTATGTATAATGTTTTTAATGTTGTACATAAAATTTTCTTAATTCACCTTTCAATTAAAGCTTCTTGTCTCAAAATGTATTCATATTGCGATTCCTCATGAAACACTTAATTTGTGCATATGTATAATAGGTAACAGTATGCCAGATTTGTATAGTAATAGATCTACTGCAATTGTAAGAAATATTTTATTGTAGTGGTTAAATTTATGAATTTTTTAGCTTATTAAATTTTAATTAAATGCTTATATCTATTTTAGTTACCATTATATTCATGTATGACTGAAGAGGGTCTTCATGACTGAAATGCATACCAGTAATAAAAGTTACTTATCAAACATCAAAATGTCATTGTGATGTTCCTAATAACAGTGTGATAAATTTCCACATATATCTCCACAAATTAAATGTTTGAGGAATCCTAATATGAATTAATTAACCTTATTATCTACGGTAAATTTTTAATATTAACAATTAATTAATTATATTACAATTATGATGTTTCTTTTTTTTTATTTAATTTTGCTAATACTAAACAAAATGTACTGTACAACTATAAGATTACATCTTTATTATAATTTCAAAATTTTGTTAACAAGTGATGTGCCATTTTAATTAAAAATTATATTATTATAATTTATTTTATCATTCTGTTATATTTAATTATCCTATCACAAATAAAATAAAATCCAGTTTTACATTATAAGTAATTCAATTTTGAATTATTCAACTACTGTACAGTACATATATATTTTATATTATACAAAGAAAATATTACTAATCTTTAATAGAAATATAAATGTTTGAAACATTTTCTTGTTTTAAAAATTTATTTTATTAAAACAAATCAAATTGCTATTTAATTAAAAATTAATATGAATGAATAATATATATAATTTATTTTATGATGATTTTACTTAAAATATGGTATCATGTTTAAATTCTTAATTTTTCAAAATAGTTTACAAAGCAGCAGATTATAGATACCTACACATCATTCATCAACAACTGGAGATTAGCTAAAGAGGCAATTAAATTAGCAATTCAAGCCAAACCAGCATTTGGTAAATTTTTAGAAGTACGTATTAAATTTTTGAAATGCAACATAAATTGAGCATTAAATTTTATGAACATGATTAATTAAAATATATTTTGATAAATGCAATTATTTAGAGTAAAATATCAAGTAATTAATAGTGTAAAGAAATAACTATTTAAGGCAGCGGCAATTTAAAATGTAATGAAATTTTTTATTGCTTATAAGTTCTATACATTTTTTATTTATTTTATTAAAAGTATTACACATTGATAATGCAATTTATATATATAATATCTTTTATTTAAGCATATGGCACGAGAACACAAAGGAAAGTTGACTTTAGATGCTCTTCTAATTATGCCTGTACAAAGGATACCTAGATATGAATTACTTATAAAAGTAAGTTTCTTTTAAAAAGTATATAGAATAGAATTATACATAATTTAAGTTGTATTATAAGAAAAAATCATAAGTTTAAGTAAATGACTAATAACTTCAAAATTAAAAAAAAACTAATAAGAAAAATATCTTAAAATATTGTTGTTAATACTTCTAGAATAAGACAAGCTTATTGATGTCTAGACATGATCCCTGGATACTATAGTAAACAAATAGAGCAAAGTTTATAGTTACATCATAGAAAAATTAAATTCAAAATAAATACAAACAAAAAAAATGAATAGAAAGATACAATTATTAACATCAATGTAATTTATGTGTATATAGATATAATATTTATGCAATAAAAATAATAATATATATTTTGATGTATTATTTTCAGTAATTATCATATTTAATGTTTATATTATTAAAATTTATCTTGTTTTATCCATGATGTGATAATCAAAAAGGCAGATAAAAAATGGCATTCTCTTGCTGATGATTAGAAATTTGTAAATTTATTTTGTTTACAAACAAAATTTTATTAAATCTTTCATTTGCTGTATGAGTTTAATTCAATCTGGATAAAAGTAGTAGTAAATAAATTAAATTAAGTTTTTATTTAATTTACTTATATTAATGTCTATATTACTTTTAAAACTATTTCTTTTGTTTGGTTTTAGTATTTTAATTTTTCATTTGTACAACAGAATAGAGAATGAAATTCTCTTGAAAACATTTAAATTTAATTTAATATAAAATTCAAACAGTTAATGTGCTTTAATAATTATGTAACAAATCTAGAATAGGTATAGAAGATTTAAATGTTCTAAAAAATCTAGCAAAAGACTTTTCCGTAGATATAACTGATATAATTAAAACAAAAACTTGTGTGTATTTTTTGTTTTTTCATTAACCTCAGAAGACCTAATCAAATTTTATCATCTTTTATTTAAGATTCCTGTTCCTTTTAATTTTTATAAATATGCAACATATATTGGTAATTTTTTTTTGCTTCCTAACAGAAAATTCAGCCTATTTTTTTTATTATTTTTTAACTCTGTATAGCATTTCAGTTAACTTAAACTTGTGAGTAATTTCATACCGAGATTTAATCAAACTTTTTCCTAATATGCTATTTCTTGTGTGTGTTTTTTTTTTTTTACTATTTCATGTGAAATCATTTAATATTATTTATGTAAAACTCAATAGTTTCTTCTTTTTACTTTTTCATATCTGTTATATGAACTCTCTGATTCTGTAATTTAGGTTTTTATCATTTCCGAGAATGATAGAATAAGAATTGTATGTGTATTCAAATCTAATTAGTTAGATCAAAGATAAAGGTCTCTAGAGTTTTCATGTAAAATTAAAATTATAGGATTCTTAACATGATTTGACTTGTATGTCTATTTATAAAAGTTTTTTATATTTTATTTTTGTTGTTTTTTTATTTTATATATATATTTTTAAACATTGCTTTTGATATATGAATTTATTATCTTAGTTCTTCTAATTTTAGTATTGTATTTTAGTTTATCTTTCCTGTTTGTAAATATAGTGTTTATGTGCTTTTTGAGATTAATGCATATATCAATACAGCTAACTTATAATTATTATAAAACAGTTTTCCTATATGCTATATTAAATTAATTAAGCTCTTCTTTGATACAATAGGAAATATTTAGTCTAATATAAACATATTAATATCCTTGGAAAATCATCAGATATACTTTTTTTCTTTCCATATAATTAAAACTTATTCATATAGTGGAAAATCTTTTAGCATTTTAGCCTGAAGTAATGCAAAAATAGTATTTTTGCATTACTTTAGGTTCCACAAATTTAAAGTTATTTTATCTAACTCAGTATGCTTATAGATCTCATTAAAAATTTCCTTCAAGGACTAGAAATCATGTAAAAAGAAAATATAAAAAAATCAGGAATAATTTCACTCATGATTTTTTTCCTCTCAATTGTTTTAATGCTAAATAATATAAAGTTTCTAATTTAAATGATGAAAAATACTTATGTTTATAGTCTAGTACTGAAAACCAACTGAAGCACTTTGAGTTTTTTTGAAGATTCTTTTAAAAAAAAAACTCAAAGCACTTCATGCAAAATTACATAGAAAAAATAAAAAAAATGCAACTGTCTTTCAACATTATAAAGAGTTTAATTGAAAAAAATTCACACAAGTATTTTCAACAGTGTTATTATGTCTTCAAGTGAGACATTCTCACATAGAACACAAAAGATCAAAATTGCTTTCTATTTCTAAGAGATAAAATGCATGTTACTTATTTGAAAGGATAACATACAAACTTTTATTTTTAAACTTTTAAAACAGAACAAGAAAATTTTTTAAATTTTAAATATATTAAATTTTAAAACTTTATAAATTGTTATTATTTCTAAAGATTTTAATGATAATTGTAGAGCATAAAAAATAAATTTGTTTTAAATAAATCTCAAGGTCTTATAAATTATTAATATTTTTAGAGATTTTTAACAATGATTATAGGAAGTGAAACAGAAGAAACTAAGTTATGCCATGTATAAACTTAAACTATTGATAATTACAACCTTCAACAGGTGGGAATGCTGAAGCACAGTACACAAAGGAGAGAGAGACCCTTAACTACTATCATTGTTTTTTTAACCATCCTGAAAAACAAAATTCACAAGTCTAGAAATTCAAGGTTGGGACGGTTATACATATTGATTGTTCAGTTATATAAGGTTTTCCAAATAAACAATGTTTCAATCTATGCATGACTGGAGTAGTTCAGCTTCTGCATGTAGGGGCTAATAGTTATCTTCTAGAACTCACTTAGCTAAGTCTGTAGAATTTCTATCATGTTAGATGTTGTGTTGATGTTCAGTTTTAGAACACTTTTCTTTTTTTCTTCTTTTTCTTTATTCTTATTTGTATTCTTTTCATTTTCTTTATTCATTATTTATAGTAAGTGACATGAATTTTTCCATCATAGATTAGATATACCATCCAGAACTAGTTTCTCTTGATTAATAAGTAAAGAGCATTACTAATAGTGTATTACCATTAATCTGTATGCACACATTCTAATATAATTTGCTATTATAATGTTTCCTCTAACAAACTTAAGTATTTTTCTTATATCTGTCAGTATGTACCGTACATAAGATTTATTTATATCTCTCCATTTCTTACTTTCAATTTCTAATCTAGTCATTCAACCATCAAATCAATGATTCTTGTTTGGTAATGGTTCTGTTCTAAGAATTTCTAACTACCTGTTGTCTATTCTTCTTTATTGTTGTTAGTCATATAGTAAACTAAACTTGAATTACTTATTAATAATTAAATACAAATGTAAATAATCAAAAGTTGCTGGTTTGTGTCCTACTCTGGATCAATCTTTTCCTTCAAAATATTCTAAATTAATTCATTTAATTCTAATAATTAAATTTAATATAAAATGGCAACTTAATTGACTATCTCTAGTCCAAATTACATATTATTTATATATTTAATTAACAAATTATAGCCTAGTAATGAATCTGGCTTTATCAATTGGCATTGTTACTAGATTTTTCAGAATGTTTTAAGATTTTTCATACACATTTCAGATTTTTTCTGTAATTATAAAAATGCAGAAGCCATTAGAATTTTATATTAAATTTCAAATTTTTCTTTGTTTTTTTGGGAGGCTATTTTTCTTTGTTTTTGTTCAGTTTTAATGCATAATTTTTTGTTTATAGATACTTTTTATAGGTTAGTTTTGTTTCGTTTTTATACAAAGATGACATGAATATTATAATTGCCTTACAGTCCTTATTTTTAATTTATTTTTAATTGTCGACTTGGACATTACTCATTAATAGGACTTTACACTGGTGTTTAAAAATTGAAGAAACAAATTTTCTTTATTAAATCACCTGTACTACTATCAATTGTGTCAATTTTTAAATGCCAGTATAAAGTCCCATTAATGAGTAATATCCAAGTAGACAATTAAAAATAAAAGTGACATGAATATCTTTATATCCCATAACAGTTTCAAATCTCCAAAATATTCAGAAATATGAGGCGTGTATTTTAAGTAAGTACTGTTTTGATATTAAAAAAACACAAGTGCAATTTTTTTTAACAATTTTATGCTTACATGAAAGCCTGTACCTTAATCTACTTTTCAACATAATTTCCTCCAATATTATGGCACTTATCATATCATACAACCAACTTCTGAATTCAATCCTCATAGAAATTTGGCACCTGATTTGCCAACCACTGCAGCACAGCCATTTTGAAATCATCATCGTGGTAGTGATGATTGCATAGATCTTTTTCAAGTGGAGGAACAAGTAGTAGTCACTAGGCACTAGATCAGGGCTATATGGAGGGTGATCAAGTTGTTCCTAGCCATATGATGTGATAAGGTCTCAGGTTCATTGAGCCATGTGGACGGACATTGTTATGAAGCAAAACAATCCCTGTACTGAGCTTGCCATGCCTTTTGTTTTGGATGACGAAATCGTAAGGCATCTGTTTTCTTGAACTTTTGCATCAACTTTCTGCACCAAGTCTTCAGTAATGACAGACGGTTGCCCACTTTGCTCCTTGTCATGGACATTAGTATGGCCATGTTTAAATGCTCTAACCCATTTTCTTACCATTCCATCACTCATAATGTTTTTCCATACACCTCACTAATTTGTTGATGAATGTTAGCTGCTTTCATGTCTTTTGCATTATAATTTGCATTTTTGCATTAAGTGAATTATCACGTATACTTCACAATTGATGGAATTTTCAGTTGTTGGAGGCATTTTAAACACACACAAACAAACATAAAATGAATGAATGCTTCTGTAATGGTTTCTGTGGCTAGCCAACAGATGTAGGTACTTGATGCACATTCGTGGAACACCACCCACAGCGCTGCTACAGCTTTATTTTAAAACTGAACTTACTTAAAAAACATGCCTCATATTTACTTTGCTTAGCAGACATGTCTGAAATATTTTTATTAAAATTTATTATTACACTTAAACAAAAGTAATTAAGTTTCTTATTAAATTTATTTATTTTTTACAAGCATTTTTTAAAATCAATATTTAATATCAATATTTAGCTGATAGATCGTTTTAATTTGTTTTTATTTTAGAACTTATTTTAAACCATTTAGATTACTTTAATTTCAAGTTTTAACTTTCTAAATATAATGTTAAAATGATAACTGGAATATGTTTCTCATAAATTTCCCAATAGTAACATTCACTTGATATGTTGAATCATTATCCAAATGACAAAAATTTATTCTTAAAACAGATAATAATATGCAATTAAAAAGAACACTGAAAATTTGTTTAGTTGGCTTTGTGAAAATAAGCATTATATGATACTAAAAATAATTAAATAGTTTAGAGATTAAGACAAAAATTCAATTACTTGTAAAAATTGAAAATAAATTTTTATAATTATAAAATAACTAGCATCGAACATCACAGCTTCACCTGCTCTTATATACATATAGAACTTCAAAAATTTGAACTTTTTGTTCACTAATTATTTTTGGGTTATCAATCTCTAGCCACCCAAAACAGGTCAACCTAGATTTATTGCATTATTCTCAGATGAAAATATTAGTCTTGATTAGGATGAATAGTGTAAACTCTATCAAGTGCTGTATCTCTTTTGATTTCAGGATAGCCTTCAACATCTAGCATACCTTATAACCTGAACTCGCCAACTCTTGTGGAAGAGCGAAAAGTGGGGCTTCGCCACGTAGTGGGTGATTCTCAAACTATACTCTAGTGGTGCAATAGTACGTGTGGCTGCAGGCAGTAAGAGTGCATGCATGGCATCCTGCTGACTGTGAGATTCCCCTATCATTTATCACTTTTTTAATACATTTTTATAAAAAATCTGTGGGTTTGATTAGTAGTAAACATTCCAGAGATCATAAAGATGCTACAGTTAAAATTTGATAACGATTGATTCAGTAGTTTTTGCAGTTAGTTGGAACAAACGAAAAATACATTGTCACTTTATATAGTAGTATAGATTAATAGCTTAAAAATACTTTTCAAAATTTATAACTAGTATAATAATTATTAGAAATTTGAAAATTGAATAAAATAAAAAATATGTAAAGTTAAGAATTTATTGGAAAAGTAATTGGTTATTTTTGTCATATATAATCTATGCATGAAATTGTACATTTTTATCAAAATCAATTATCAAAGTTAGTCCCATTAGTTGATTGGATTCTCAAAGGACTCTGATAATTAATAATTTTTGTAAAATTTTTATTTGTAAATTAATTTTTTTTGTAATTAATTTTTTAAAATTTTTCTTAATTTCTTTTCTCGATTTTGTTCATTATTACTTATTCATAAAATATAAATCTCAATAAATTAATAAAAAATAGAACCTACATAAAAACCCTATAATATGTTAATTTAAACAATATTAAAAAACCATGAAAATTTAATCTTTTTGTGATTTGTCATTTTATATATTGTAAAATAATCTGTAAAATCTTTGAAGATTATATTAGTTCATGAAAATTATTTTAGTTTTAAAGTTAGAAAATAAGAAAATAAATAAATATATGTTATATAAAAATAAAGGAACTATTATTATCTACTAATAAATTTGAATTTTAAAGAGGCTTAATTTTATGACGGGTGTAAAAACTACTCTTTCAATTTTAGAGTAATATTGATTAATATCAGATTTATATGATAAAATTCTTATTGAATGAATTCAATCAAAATTTTATATTACTCAAATCCTTTGAGTTTTTGTTCCTCCTTTCCTTATCCATTTTCCTTCTTTTTTCTATGATTTTCTTCTTTACAAAAATTAAACTTTACAAAATTCATAATTATATTTTTTACATATTAAGAGAAACTATAAACATAATACCAACTTTAGATTTATCAACAATTGTATTTATAATGTATAATATAAAAGAAATTTTGCAATACTAAATTATAGTATAATGTAAAAGTTAGTAAATTGAATTTGATTTTTATTTTAAAATGAATGTTATTATATTGTTAATAATTTTACTATCAATCCTTAAACTTCTGAGCCTTTATATAGAAAGTGTCTAAATATTGTTTTTCTTCATTTAATATATTATTATAATGCTTATTCTGTTTATCATTCAAAAAATAGTTTTCATTAGTTATTTTAGTTTTTTTTTTAAATTCAGATTATTTTTTATCAGCATCTTTAAAAAATTTATATAATTCAGATTCTTAATTTATTTCCTGCCATTGTTTGAATTTATTATTATTTAATATAAATATTAAAGTTTTTCGTATATAATATAAGACAATATATTTATCTTTGCATTTAACATTTTCAAAGCAATTTTTAGCATATAGCAAATTTATTAATTCTAGAAAATAGTTAAACTGTTTTCAAATTTATAAGTTTTTAACATTTTGGTGATGAAACTTAACTATTCAAAATGATTAAATAATTAAAATATTTTGATTTCAAAAACCTTTCTTAAATTTGATGAAAATTTCTATTTAATTTAATAAATATTATTAAATAAATAATAAAAATAACTGTTCATTTCGAGATTTGAATTTTTGTTTAAATATGATTATATTTAAACAAAACAATTACTAGGAAGGATATTAGGAATAATAGAATATTTTGAAGAGGATATGAATTTATCAAAAGTATTTGCAATTAATATTTAATTGTATAATAGTTTATGCAAATGACATTTATATTATGATTTTTTAAAATTTACTAAGCTTGGAATGACATTCTTATATCTGAAAGGATAGCAATATTTTGTCAAAGAAAGCATGTTTTGTGCAGATGCATGTGATGGATTTATTTATAGTGTACTTAATAGCATTTCTGATTGCCAATTGGAAGAGAGATTTGTTATTAAAAGAAGTTTTAAGAAACATTTATAAACTCTTTTTTTTTTTTTTTTTAAGTAGTATATATTAAGTATCCTATATTATGTGCAATTATGATAAATTCAAACTATATTTTATTTTTTTAACATATACATTCTAATTAAATAATGAAAATTATATTCTTTTAATAGAATATGCATTTGGATGAAATCAAATAATAAAACACCAATTCTATGATTAATAGAAAAATATATTTATTAGACATATACAAAATAAATGATTATTGTAAACTTTATTAACTTTTAACATACATATTTAGGAACTTCTAAAACATACACATGTGGATCACCCAGATCACCAACTTCTTGTTATGGCTCAGAAAGAAGTACATGATTTAGCTGTAAAAATCAACAGAGTAGAAAGAGAAGCATTTCAACATGAACAGATGCAACAAAAAGTTAAAGAAATTGAACATCTCATTGAGGGTATTATGGATGTATGTTATATTTTCATGTTTTAATAAAAATAAAATATTTTCAATATCAATATTCTAATTCATATTTTTAAAATTTGAATTAATTATAATAATTTTTTTTTTTTTTTGCATTTTTAGCTAGTGCAGCCTGACAGAACCTTCATTCGGTATGATCTAGTCAGCATACCAGTAAGATAATCTTTAATTATTTGATATATTTTTCTATTTGACCATATACCTGTAGATGCTTAATTTAAAAATAGAAGCACTCCAGATATGTTTGAAGTGTCAAAAATGAAAATAACTTCTGATGTAAAATCAAAATATGAGTCATTGAAATAGTTAATAAATAATTCAAATATTATCAATATTATTATAAAATAATTTCTTTAAAACAAATTAAAATTCTGAATCAAATGCATTCAAATACAATAGTCTTAATTATTTTAGAATGCAAAATAATAATATATAAATAAAATGCAGTAGGCCTATGCATATAATATTGTATATTTTATTTATGCTTTTGGTTTGGTTTGGTGGGATATGGCAATGCAACACATGTGCAATCTGCCAAAGGGAATGCCTCTCAGGAGAACTTTTATGAGAAACTGGCCCCAATTTAAGTGATAGGTACATGAAGAAAAACCAGAAAACACTACATCACTAGCTCATTTGGTGTGGCAATCTGTAACCAGCTACCACTGTTTAGTGATTGTATTCACTTGACCATTGGTAGGTTTATGTATTTTGAATATACTTTTGCAATATGATTATTATTAATTATTTGAGAGCTGAGAGATTTAGAATACAATGATAAAAATAGACAGTTATGAATTTTTTTTTCAATTTGTATAATCAAACTGTTGTTTTCATTAACAATTTTATTAAAAATTGAATTGTTGTCATTCAATTTTTGTATGTATGAACACTATGTATGAAGCATACAGCTCACAAAACATTTGATATTTATTGTCTGGGTCATAAAGGTCTGTTTGAGAATTTATCTCATAAATTAATCAGCATTTTCATTGTAAAATTTTCTGCTACATTCCTGAGAAGTTTATCATAGCTTTTGTGAAACAAAACATGTTTGATAATGCTAAAAATGTGATTATTTTCTCAAATAAACCTTAGTGTAGGATCAGATAAAAATATTTTGCAAAAATATTGACTTTAAAATTGAGAGTTTGTCATTTGAATTAGTGTTTATTTAGAATTTACCATTTATATTTGTGAATTGTTTGCAGTGCAATGTTATTGCATTTGTTTCTGCATTATTATATTTCACTTTCACATATTATTTTAATTTTAGAGACTAAAATTTAAGTCAGTAACAAATTAGAAACTAGGAAGTTGTTTACAGAATAATCAAGGTTTTAAAATATACAGATATACCCAAATCTATAACCCCTTGACATACAACTGTACACATAACTTCATATTTTCTATAATACTTTATAACAACTATTAAATGGAAAGTATGGTACATTCTATTTTTGTCATTTCTAACATCAATTAATGTTTATAATCACCTTAGCATAAAAATGTATGACAGTATGATACTTTTGTGGTGATCACTTTACTTCTCTTTTACTATCTGGCATTGTGTTTTTGTGTACCTATATTATGTCATTCGTATGACCAAATGAATTTACAACCATACTGTCAAAATGAAGGCCATCATAAGTCAAGGTGTATCTTTTCATGTAAATTTTTTTAAAATTATGAAATATTTAAATTCATTTAAGGCATATAAAATTGTATTAAAAATATTAAAAAGAATTAATAAAATTTGAGAACATCATCTCTCTTATATATTCCTATAGAGTTTGGCATCTCATTTTGAAGAATACAGGTAAAATAAACAGTTTATCTAGAAAGTATCTTTTTTTCTGAGATTATGATCAATAATCAATATAGTATTGATTGCTATTATCCATTTTAGCATTGGCATAACCATCACTTTTTGCTGAATTTGCATGTCTATTTTTGAGAATTTTTATCATCATAATAAAACATTATGGAGATGATTGTTTCATTGATGTTTCCAAAATGAGATGCATATGAAATATAAAGATAAATTATACTGAGTAAATATGCTGTCAGTGTTAAGTAGTGTATTTTATATGATAAAAACTATAACAAATTTGCATCAATAATGCTAACATATTGTGGCATTACTAATGTAATAAAACAGCAAAACAGAAGTGCTTAATAATCTGTGAAAAAACTTTCCAAAGTAGACATTTCTAGCACAGTTAAATTAATTAACTTCTTATGTAGATATAATTGAGGTAAATTCAATAAATAAGGTTAGTAGCACTGTTAAAAAAAAATAACTGTTATAATGCAGAGGTGTTTGCTGGAATTCTTAAATGATGCATCACAAGGTAGCAAATTAATGCTAAATTATTTGGTGAAACTTTAATAAAACATTAAATCTGTTATAGAAACATGTGGTAATAATATCATGTTGTATACACAAGTAGTTGACCATTATAAATGTATTAAAGAAGGCCATGAATCAATAGAAGATGCTAACATTATTTGTGATGACTTGAAAATGCATTCATCTTACATTATTCCAAGGAAATTAACAGATGAGCAACATAAAAAATATGCATTCATTCGTGAAGAACTGATTGACAGAGTTGATAAAGATTTATGACCTAAACAGAGTGATTATTGATGATGAAACCTTGTTTCTATATGACCCATGAAGGAAATGTATCTCATTGACATGGAAATTAGTCTCTTCAACTAGGCAGGAAAAAATTTGTGCTGACAGATTCAAGGGAAAGGTGATACTTATGATTTTTGATGCAAAAGACCTAGTAGTGCATTATGAGCTTGTTTCCAATGTTAGCCTTATTAATTAACAAGAAGATTAACATTTTTTGATGTTTTCCAGGATGCAGTAAAATGAAAATGTACTCATCTCTGGTAAGCAAAAAGCTGGATTTTCTGTCAACAATGTCTTGATGCATCATTCTGTTTTAATAATGAATATTTAGCAAAACATCTCTAGTGTTTGTGTTTTGCTAGTACCTGTATCTATACTTCCATAGCCTCCTTGCTCACTGAACCATCCTCCTGCAGATTTTCATGCCACTAAAATGAAAGCTTTACTGAAGTGTTGTATCAAATTAGTGGAAGAAATAAAAATTGCATAATAATGGGCTGAAAGATTATTTAACACATTCATTGCTGGTGATGCTTTGGAGTAATCTACACTGCAACACTGCATGTACTGACCCTCTTATGGACATCATAAGTTTTCTGTTTCTCACTCAAAAAATTTTTATTTGTTTTTGAAAAAAAATTTTTTTCTTGTTTATTGTACCCTTCTAAGAATATATTAATTTTATATAATTTCCTTAATGTTTTTAACATATACATATACATATACATATAGTTAACAAAATGTAAAAAAAATTCAGAACACAGCTAGAGATCACTTACTATGGAGGCAGTGAATATATTAATAAGTGTACAAACAGTGACAAAAAGTGTTTATTTTGGATATGGTCTTCTGTAAATATTTATTCTATCAATGAAGTGATTTTCAAACATTTTAAAGGGACATCCCATTTTTTAAATTCATGTGTTCCCTATATTTTTTATAAAATCATACTGGCCTATATTTTTTTAGGATGTCCTTTATGTTAATAAAATGAAGATTTTTGCATGGTTTTTTGTAATACAAAATTATATTTCAAACAAAAGAGATACATGCCACTAAATAAAATTAAATTTGGATGATATAATGACTACATTTTAGTCATTACATCGTCTAGTCTATCCACAATGATGAATTTTCTTTGTACAGTACTTCCTAGAAAATATCTTGCATCCCACTATGGAGACATGCTCTATAGCTTGAGAACCACTATATTAATGTAATAAAAATGATATTAAAAGTTTGGTTATTTTATCCTACAACACCAATGTTCACTCAATACAATAGTGAACATTGGTGTTGTAGGATAACATCAGCCACATAATTACTGCCATCAATGTCCCTATGATGCACTTGATGTTCCCAAATATGAATTGATGTATCAGTTGTGTATAGATCTGACAGGTGACTGCTTTCAGCAGTCACCTGTCAGATGGTGAAAGCAACAATTGACTTCTCTGTTTATTACTGTAGTATTATTCTGTGCTTCTCTAATCTATGAACCAGGGCTACTTTTTCATGACCATCCTGGACAAGTACACAATAATGTTCTTTATAGAAATGGCCATCCTGTTAGTAGACACTTTGTTTGAATGGATATAGCATAGTGTAAAAGAAAGATGTTAAACTGAAACTAATTTTGTTTTTATTTATCAGTAGCTAAGGTTTTCTTAATTAATTTGACATCATCCTATTGCACTGACACCCCAGAGTCTGATGCATATTGGGCCAGAGTCATCATTGTTTTGTTATTGGAAATGTGAAATATATGAAAAGTCAAATTAAATTAATTAAAAACTACTAATGTGAGATAGGAATAAGGACTTATCACACCAGTGATAGGTCCTTATTTCTACCTCACATTAGTAGGTTTTTAATTAATTTAATTAAACCAAGGGCAAAAAGCAATTTCTTTATATGAAAAGTCAGTTTGTCTTCACTTATTTAGTAGTTCCAGTTTTAAGAATAATTTTATGTTATACCTGCTCTATTAGTATTTGGTAAGAGCTTATTTTTCCTAGGGGTGGTGCGAATACCCAACTTTCCTATATTATTTTTTTCAGTTCTTTACTATAACTAAATATTTATTATGAGCAGCAGTTTGCTTATAACATTAAACATGAATTTTTTTCTGTTTCAACTTTCTTAAGACTTATTTTTGAGAAATTTATTAGAATCTGAGAATAGATTTGTTCTAATCCTGTAGTTATTTTAGTTTCTATATAGTNAATTAAGTTTCTTATTAAATTTATTTATTTTTTACAAGCATTTTTTAAAATCAATATTTAATATCAATATTTAGCTGATAGATCGTTTTAATTTGTTTTTATTTTAGAACTTATTTTAAACCATTTAGATTACTTTAATTTCAAGTTTTAACTTTCTAAATATAATGTTAAAATGATAACTGGAATATGTTTCTCATAAATTTCCCAATAGTAACATTCACTTGATATGTTGAATCATTATCCAAATGACAAAAATTTATTCTTAAAACAGATAATAATAT